GAAGGTGGGCTGGATTCTTAAAGTCCCTGGGCTAAAGTAATAGTTTGGAAAAAATACTGCTTGCAATCATTAGCATCGTACTGGACACAGGTGAAGATTAGGTATTTGACTAATTGTGGGTTTTATCTCATTTGATACATGTGCTTTTATATGGTCATGAACACATTTATTTTAATTACATTAGACTAAACCCCAGGGCTCTTTTACTGTAGAATTTGTAATTAAAAATGTTTGTTTCTTAAAAACTACGTTCGAAGGGCCTTTTTTTTTCTGTGTATACACAATGAGGAAATAAATTAGGCATCAAAATGTTGAAATTTCTTTAGCTGTGTAAAGTAACCTAGGAATAACTAATTCACTTCTACCTGCAAAGTTTTTCATCTCATAATTACTTTTACTGTCATCTTTTATTTATGTAAACATTTTCTGATCTTCTTTTATTTTTCCAAATGGAGTAATACATTTTCCAGATATAAGGAAATTCCATTTTCATGGTCACTATTAGTGTAGTCTTTTTTAACTAAATAAGCCACAAATCACTTGTAAGTTAGCTATAAAATCATATATATTCATAAGCATTTAATTGTATGAATTAAATAAATACTTCACTCTCTGACGCTTTCAAGTGAAAGAATTTTAAATGCATTTGATGCCTTTCGCCTCTGATAATGAATGTTTCTGATTTCAGGAGCGCAGCTGGGAGACAACCATAACCTGGCTGCACTGTATAAAAATTAGGATCATAAAATCATAAAATAATGATAATGAAACAAACAGATTGAATGAGACCTTGGGAGATCTCTCTCCAACTTCATATTCAAAGCAGGGTCAGCTAAAGGATCAGATCACATTGCTCAAGATTTTCTTCAGCCTGTCCTTTGAAAATCTCCAAAGATGGAGGCTGCACCACTTTCCTGGCTAAGCATAGAACTTTGCCTTTGTCCTTGTTAAATTCCATAAAGCTCCTGTCCTTTCATCCTTCCAGCCTGTCTAGTTCCCTCAGCATCACAGTTATGCCCTATGCATTGCCTGATCATCCCAGTTTGGTGTAAACTGCAAACTTGATGAGCACGTACTTTGTCACCTACTCCAGATTATTGAAAAACATATTAAACAGGATGGGTGCCTGGTCAGACTCCTGTGACACTCTACTTATTTCCAGGCCTTGGGTAGCATATGACCCATTAACCACTACCCTCTGAGCCTAGCCATCCAAATAGTCTTTTAATTTTCTAGTTGTCCAGCCATATAGACCATAGCATCTTCAGCTGAATACATGAATATTATGGGAAATGGTGTCTAAAGTACTGCTAAAATCTAGATAAGTGACATCAACTGATCTCCCCTTGTCCAAGAATTCAGTCATTTCATAATAGAAGGCAATCAGGTTTCATCAGACATGATTTATTCTTGGCAAATCCTGACTCTTCCCTGTCAAATTTTTTCTCCTTTATGAGCCTAGATCTGAGACTTGTTTGATGATTTTTCCAATAACCAAATTATGGTTAGCTGGCCTTTAGCTACTCTGCTCAGCCCTTCGGCATTTTAAAAGGATGCATACATACACCTTTCTCCAAATGTCTGGCACCTCCACCAATCTCAACAGCCTTTCAAGGTTGATACATCTGCAGATTTGCAATGCCATGAGCAGTCAGTGCCTCACTCCTGTACTTAAGTCAAAGTACTCTTTGAGTGTTTCATAGTTATGATTCAATACACAAGATGCATGATCTGACACTATGCATGGTGTTGCTCTGTTTGCTGAACTACGGTATAGCTGTCTAAAATACACAAAGTTATTGAATTTTGTTTCTCCTAACTACATACAATGTGTTTTCTTTTGCTTTGTTTGTTGAAAAGCACGTGAAATGAAATATACTACTTATATATTGCAGACAGTGACTTTTTAAAATTTCATTTTCTACTGTTGTTCTTTAATAAGAGCCCAAACACACAAATTATCTACAACAAGATGAAGCATTCTAGACTTCAGACTTCCTCCCCTGGGAGAAGTACAAGAATAAAATACAATACATCTGATACATTCTCCTTAATTTGTTCCTGAAAGGCACTCAGATAAAGTATGCATAAATGTTCTATAGTACTAACAGAGTAGTTCTAGAGACATTAAACTGTTGGGTTTTCTCCTCTTTTATACTGAATCACAGAATATTCCGAGTAGGAAAGAAAGAACAAGGATCAAGTCGAACTCTGAAGTAAATAGCCCATACTGGGATTAAATCTGCAACCTTGGCATTATTAGCACCGTGCTCTAACCAACTGGGCTAATCTCAGGGTCTACACACAGGGATAACAACCTCCCAATTTCAGATAAGAATAACTGGAAATTAATGGAAAAAGGATCTATTATTGTATTATTGTGGCAAGCTTTATTTCATTTTGTTACATTACCTGCTCCAGACATTAATGTAGAAAATATGGAATTACATACATGTATGTTGTGCACCAGTATGTCCACATGATTAGCATTACTATAGGAGGTGTCCCCACTCTAATATTATTACATGTATGTCTTTTTAGTTCTTTTCCTTAAAATGCAGACAAACTTTCAGGCTTAAAAAACCCCCAGAGTGTACAGTTGTTATATTTGCTCCCCCAAGACTTTATATAATTTCAGCAGTGGCAGGAAAGAAAGCCAGGAAATAAAAAGGTAATGAAACTTCCACACCATTATATACACAAACTGCTGTTAATTTGAGACATTGACAAAATATTTCTTACTGCATGCCAGGTAGATCCTGCAGTGAGCTCAGATTTTTCTAGCAGAACAACATCCTTCAAGCCAGCTTTAGCCAAGTGATAGGCTAGACTCACACCAACACAACCACCTCCAATGATCACTGTGTCTGCTCTGTCTTTCCCCAAGGAAGGAGATGAGGTTTTTTTCCTAAAAAAAAAGAAAAAATTACAAAAAGGCAATTTTCCATCTCTTTTGTTTACTGTTTCAATGATAATAAAACTTGGTGTCTGCTTGGCAATTTACACACCTAACTTAAACCCCAACATGTTCACCTGTATCTTCTTTTAAAGTAAATGCTCTCGGAGGGTCATATATGTAAACAGTAGCAATACAAAAAAAACCAAAGCAAGCTTGCTTCCACTTGCAACTTTAAAACTTGTGTTATTACCCAATATAACTTTATATGTAGATCTTATTTTTCAATAACAAACTGGCCCCCCAAATGACAGTGTCAAAACCTGACTTTTCGAAAGTGCTATAGAATGTGCAACACAAAGTCTTTAAAAAATGTCTCCTTAATAAGGCTCCTTAATAAATTTCTAAAGCCAGTGTCAGTAGACTATGACAGTGTATGTGTTCATGAACAATGAAACTTGGTTTTTATTTTATATTCTGCCATGTTCTTGTTTTCTGAAGACAAAACATTATAGAAACAGGTTTTTGTCAATTGCTCACACCTGCTACCCCACCACACTGTATTTTCACAACTACTTTAGGCCAGCATAAACCAGAACTGCTACCATAGGCAGTCCCATTCTTCTCTAAGTCATCTGATCCTCCTCTCTACTACCTCATCCACAGACAGCCAAGCAGTAAGCTACATGTGGAAATTTATAACGGTTTTTAAAAAAGTATTTCTTTTGGTGTGAGACAAGGTAGGACATATTAGTACAGTAGCAGTACACACTACGTAAACCACAGTATCTCTCCCTTCAGGACAGTTAATCAATACTCAATTTTATCTCTCCTTGTATACTTGCAACTTCTCTGGCAACAGACTTTCTAATGTATAACTAGTCTTCCAGTCAGAAAACAAAGCTACTAGTTTTATGTATTATGAAGAGAGATCTTATGACATTTTAACTGCAATTGCAGGAGGAATGTGCACCATGCTTACTCTCTAGGTAGTAACGAATAAATGGGAGGACAGAACACCACAGGTTTGTGTATTTGGTGCACCACACATTTGCATGTGTTCTTTTTTGCGATTACATATTAATTTTTGCAAGTTAACAGTAAGCTGTTTAACAGCCAAATGTGAGACACTTACACCACTCCTCTACTGAATTTTGAGGCACGTGTTAATCAAGGTCAACCACAGAGGCTTTTCTCATGCTTCTTTTATGCTGTGGATTTGAGATTTTCTCACCTGACTTTCAGGTTTTTTCAAACCTTTCCCCAGGAGCCCCGCAAAGATCCGGGGTGGACCTTCCCGGTGAAGTACACCTTCACCCAGATGTTTGATCGTGCCAGTTAAAACCGGTCAGTACTTGCTCATCGGTATGGCCCAGAGGACACCAGGAGGGATCTCTTACACCAAGTCAGCAACGCACCCCGGATGGTTCCGGCTTTGCCGCAGCAACGCGAGGCGCTGGGAGATGCACTCCCTGCCCTCAGGTGATCCGTCCGGCCGCTGGTAGAGCATCGCAGGCCGGCGGCAGGAGCCCGCCCCTCTCACCGCCTTCCCTGCGCATCCCCGACAGCAGCATCACCGGGAGCCGCGGCTTCGGGCGGCGCGGAACCACGCGCGGACTGTGCGGCCGCGCCCGCCCTCCGCCGCCCCGCCGCCCGCACTCACCACCCCGGTGGGCGAGGGGCCTCAGGGCCGCCCGCGCCGAGGGGGCTGGCCGGCGAGGGGGCTGCAGCAATCGTCGCAGAAGCCTCCCCGCAGCTACCGGCGCTCACCACCGACACACCAGCCAGTGACGGGGAGCGCTGCCCGCACCGGCTCCCGCGGCGACCCGTCCGTCCCGCCCTGTCCGCCGAGCCCAGCGCCTCCCGGAAGGAGGGTGCCGGACTCCCTTGGCCGCAGGGGCAGCCCGAGGGGGGCAACGGGCGCCTCTCGAACTCGAGCCGGGGGGGGGCGGCAGCGGGAGGAGCGGGACAGCCCCCGGCGTCAGGGCGCCGGCGGGGTCAGGGGCGGACCGGCACGGGGTGTCGCCTGCAGCTCTGCCCCCACGCCCAGCCACCCTCACCGGCTATAAAAGCGTGCCGAGGACTCGTCGGGCTGATCTTCGCGCCGAGCCGTCGGGGGTTCGCGGGTAGCCGGCGTCCCTGGACGAGGAAGATGCTGCCGATCGGGAAGACCGCGAAACAGGGCAAAAGGGTAATTCTCCTGCCTCTCTCCCCACCCAGCCCCGGGCGCTGCTCCCCATGGGCACGGGAGTGATATCCCCGCCGCACTCCCCTCCGGCGCCCGCCGCGGGGCGGACGCTGCCCCGGCGGCCGGGCGGTGCGGGAGGGCAGCCCCGCACCGCGAGTCTGGCGACAGCTCAGGGCAGAGCTCCCGGCCGCCCCTCTAGCCTCCGGGGGGTCCTGCCCGTAGGCTCCCGAGGGGAGCTGCTGCTAGAGCGCCATGACCCGCGAACTGCACCGGTTACCTACCAGTAAGGTACTCGGTATCTCTGCAGGTAAGGTGATCTTGCGAGAACCTAAAATAAAGCCATGATAATTATTCTAAGTGTTCAGCATGGAGCCGTCAAAGACATTTGGACGTCATTATGAGATAAATTAGATTGAATTAACTCTGTAACAGCTCACAGAGTTTTTGTTGCTCTGAACACATAGACTGGAGCAACAGAGTTCGAGACCATTTTACCTAATAGTATTTGATATGCAAATTAAGCAGGACTCACAACACACTGCAAATTAAAATTATGAAAATTGTAAGGATAAATTGTCATTGAATTTGATTTCTGTCTTCAGCATCCTGCCTGCTCTATTTAAAAGCCCCAAATTGCTCTTCTCTTGATTAATATGACTGGATACCAACAGTATTTGTAATATCCACCCAAATTCCTATGTATCTATGCCCTTTGCTCCCTCATTAACTGAAGAAAGAAGCCAGTATAAAAAGTTATCCAGGCATCAGCCATTCAGGCCATTAAGGCAAAGCCATGAGCTTCTAAATCAAACTCTCTGACATTTACCCATACTGCTACCCTGCACTCCTGCTTGGGAAGGTCAGCAGAATCATGTATCCATCTTTTATTTGGAAGGACACAATTGCCATTAGTAGGGCACACCTTACTCAGAACTGGTTTTGCGCATTTTTATGTGTAGCGTGTAAGTCCAGAGTAAGAGAACAGAAAGATACAGGAAGAAGTCTATGAGCTCTAGGTCTTTCAGGTAGATCAGTTGCAAAGGAGCAAGGTTGGGGGGTATTTTTTCTGCTTTTTATATTTTGGCATATACTCTTACCACCTAACTTCAACACCTAGCAGAAGGAAACTTTCGTAAGTTCCCCCTACAGGCAATGGACTTCTCTAGAGGGCTTACTTAAGATCTGAATAGTTGTTTTGAGATTCTTTTTCTCTCCACCAAGGAAAAGGTAGGTTATAGATAGACCAAGCAGGTTCTTCACTTACACAGTTCAGTTACATTCCTAAAGGTGGTTGAGGGAATATCTTCATATTCACTCTTTCCGTGAATAGATGGACCATGTGCTGCAACTTCATTCGTAGGAGCAAAGTGAAACAGTGAAAAGATGGCTCAAAAAAACCTTGATTAGCTTTTTACAAGTGCTGTTTCTTGTAATTTAATACCAGATTTGTGTAGTACCGGATCACCTGTCAGTATGGTTTTGATCTGGATCAGACATGAGCACACAACCGTAAGTCTCTGGGGCAGAACAAAACAATATTGACCCTGAAATTCAGCTAGCTATACGCTCATTGAACCAATGGTATTTTACACAGTATATAAAGCAAAAATGGTGTGAAGAGAAGATGTCAGACCCATAATAAACTTTGCAAAAAGTTTTAATCCAATATGAACTGACAAAGTAAGTTTTTATTAGGTATTTTGTGCTTTGAATTTATCTCTGCTGCTCTGATGCTAGGTTTCATGTATCACAATATATTAAGATGCCATGGTCTATTCAAACATGGCTTATGTTGCTTCTGTGTGTCAAAAGTGAAGATTATTTTAAAATGCAGTTTAAAAAAACTAGGACTGTGAAGAAAAACTGTTGTTAAATCCCGTGACTTGTTAAAAAAATCTGGTGAACTGCATTTAAGTACATATATAATATAATAATAAATATAATACCTATATGTGGTATCAATATGTGTCTATTACTTGATGTTCAGTTAACAAGCAACAACTGAGGCTGCTTGTATGTTTTTTTTTCTGCATACCTGTTCTCTGGATATTAAATTTCTGAAGCAAACTCCATCTACAAAAGATACTTTGGCAGGCAGGGGAAGCAGGGCTCAAACAGTGATCACTTGGGTACCTTTCTCTCACCCCATTTGAGGCATTTGGTTACAACTGCAAGTTAGTTTATTGCAAGCACAATCTTTACAAAGCCTCCTGCCACTTACATTAAAATTCTTTTGCCTGTTTCTGCTGAAATAAAGATAAAAACTTGCACACTTCATAATAAAGCTTTAATCAGGTCAATATTTTGGCAAGTCCACAGTGTGCAATGGAATCTGATGCAGAGGTTTGCAAGCCAACACTTGGTCAATCTCTGCACAGCAGCACTACACAGAGAAGTCCTGCCATCTTGCTGCAATGTCAGTGCCTCAGCCAAAACTGGTGACCCTCTGAGGCTTGGTAGGCTCCAAAGAGCCTTACACTGCTGTGCTTGGTACTGAAACTGGCACACTGGCATACTGTTCCTTCTGCTTGCAAAGGCATACTCACACCCTGCCTAAAGGGCAGGGCTGAGATGTCATAAATGTTTGTCCTTGCTGGAGGTATGGTATAATAAGATAATTATATTAATGAAGGACAAAGTATCAAAAAAGAAAATCTACTAAAGGTTGAAGGCTGATTGTTAAAAAAGCCTTCCACTCAGCATGAAAATCACACTCAACTCTACGTCCATGAGGCTTTTATTTTTCCTACTCCCTCAAAGTTCATCCATTGAAAGGCCAGTGTACCATCAAGAACACTATGCAGAGAAATTGCAGTCTTACCTTTGATAAATTCTTTACTTATACTCACTACCTTGTGTATGTAGTCTTCAATCATTCATCCACTTCTTTAAATAAATAGAACTATGGTTGCAATCTGATAGCAGAAATAAACCCTATTCTGACAGCAATGTACTTTTTAGAAATTTTGAACAAGCCAATGAAGCAATGAAAGGAATAAAAAAAGTAATATATTTCAGGTGAAACTAATATATGTTCTCATGTTTTTCAATTTTACAAAAAAAAAAAAATTGCCTCTTTCCTTGCACTAGCATGGAATTGAAGGCAGAAGCAAGAGTAATCACAGGATGCTGTAAGGTTTTTAATTTGGCATCTTAAAACATTTCAGGGCTGTGAAAAACAAAACAGGATTTTCTTTAACTTTGTAAATCTGGATAAGCAAACCCAGGCCTTAAAAAGACTGTCAGAAACTGCAGGCCAGCTTTTGAGATGTGTCTTGTTTGGTAGGAAAATGTTACATGATTACTTTTCTGTGATGCCTGTTGTGCCATCTGGTGTCACAAGTTATTTGTGGTAAGGCTCTATGAAGGTGGCATTTGTAGCTAAAAGACAAATGGGCTAATAAAGAGATTAGTGATACTAGTGTTTCATTTTAAGAAGTTTTGCATATATTTTACAGAAGAATTTGAGATGCTGTTTTACTTTCATGGGAATGAAATTGGACCATTGACTTCCAGTTCTGGGGACTGTATCTCTGAAATACGGTACAACTCACTAATGAAAAGACATAATAAATGTGTACATATTAAAGCCTTATGCTGCAAAAGAGCACATATACCATTCTTTAAAGATAATTTCAAAAGGAAATTTATTACTTTTTACTATTACAGCAGAAGTATTTCTGGTAGCCTGCAGGTATTTATGTCTGCTTTGCAAATACAGAAAATGGCAACAAAGACAAAGGAAGGCCACAAAACTGAAGCACAGTAATTGTTAATATTTCCTCCTGCTTTCTTCAGGGTATTCTAGAGCGCTTGGATGCTGGAGAAATTGTGATTGGAGATGGAGGATTTGTCTTTGCTCTTGAAAAGAGGGGATATGTAAAAGCTGGGCCTTGGACTCCTGAAGCAACTGTAGAACACCCAGAAGCAGGTCAGTTTTACTAGGAAATAGTATCCCTGTAGTGAATGTAAACATGGTTGGCTCAATAATAACTATACAGGAACTCATAGTAGGTTTTCAAATAGGAGTGTTCCCTGACACTGTGTAATGACATTGTTAAGAACAGCATAGGAACTGCCCATCTTAGCCCTTTTACTTGCTCTAACACTAGCCAAAAGCAGTTGACTGGGGTTTATATTCATATTCTTATATGAATAGTGCAAACATGTAGTGATACATCTTCAAAATGCTCTCCCAGTCTTCAATAATTTGCATCTCAGGGACTTTTTATTGCAGATGTGGTTACATTTGTGTTTAATAACATTAGGTGATTTCTCAGTCATGAATTTGTCCAGTCTGTCCTAGAGCTAATCATTTAAAGCTTATGATTTATAACATCTCAGGAAAAAGAATTCTGCAGTTAACCATCTGTTTTGTTTTGTTTTAGTCATTCTAGGACTCTTACATATTTATAAACTAAAATAGTTTTTTTATTCTTTCAGAGAAATAACAGTTTTTAATAAACATCGTAATGGGAGTATTTAATGTTTCTGGCTCCACTATGAAATGGGGAATGATAGACCTCAAAAGAACCTAAAAATTGCAATAAACAGATAATGGAGTAACACTCTTAAAGTGGATGGAGAAAAAAATGAACAACTATTCCACGCCTTCCAGCATAAAGATTATAGTGTTTAGCATAAATAGTGCAGAAGCAGATGCTATTAACTATTTATGTATGCTTCATTACAGGAAAGCATTTGCACTAATAATATGATGTGCAGTTAATCCCACAAGCCAATTCAGAATATCCTGGGGGGAAAAAATTTTCTTTGCTCTGTGTTTGCCCTTCCAAATTAGTCTTTTCCTTCTACACATGGGAAGAAGGAAGAGAGGGGAAGGAGAGATTCTTAGCTCTCCCTGTTGCATTGCTTTGTACACCTTACCTATTCATTCAATCTAATTCCTCTGAGGCTTCAAGTGTCACTTATGTGTAGCATGCCTAATTTAGGGTTATGGACAGCTTTAGATAGTGCAGAGCTCCAGTAAAGGTTTAAGGATTGATGACCTAATTTGCTGACTCTCTTTGCTCATCCCAAAGAGAATTCCATTATCTCTCTTTCTGTTTGTTTCCACCTCTACCTTTGTCTGCCTCTGCACGTTCCAACTTACAACTCATAGCACTTATCCCATGCTCTTTATTTCCCCTTTGCTTGTTATTTTGCACCTCAAAAGCCCTTGACCCTCTCCACATGTCTCTTACAGGCTATTTATAAATACACTCTTCAGTGGAAATGTATTCACTGATTTTTGTGCAGGGCGGGGGGCTGCCTTCTCTCCATTATTGCTTTTTTGCTTCTGCATGCCCAAGGGTCATGTTACTTTGAAAGCAGGTGTAAAGAACACAAGGAGCAACTGGCTGAGCCAGTGGATGTAAAAACCGTACAAACTACCAGAGCTTCTTGTTTTTATAAGGAAAGAAGGAAAAGGTGGGAGGTTCTGAGAATGCAACAGGGGATTAAAAAAAAACAAACCAAATTTAAAAAAAGTGAGTTTAAGGCCATTATCTGTACTACTGGAGAGGAGTTTCACCAAACTGACAAGTTTAGAAATGAGATCTAAATATTTCTTCTGAGACAGATCAGGTAGTGCTTATTGCCCCTATCTCTTGTTAGCCTATATCTGTCTTTTATGGAATATCCAACTCACGGCAGAATGAAATTAAAACTTAGTGTTATATGTTATACACCTGACTTCTAAAATGCATCAGATTATTAACAATGGTTTAGTCTCATATGTGGCTATTAGCCCCATTTCTCAAATGCTGGAGGGAAACACAGTTTCACTAGCATGCTGGAAGTCACACAAGTAAATTACCGAGTGGTTTGTGGTTTTGATAGTGCATCATGCTGTGGGTTTGATACCAACAACAGTGCATTCATTCCCCTGGTAAAAAACTATCTGCCTGGGGTTAAATAAGATTCAGGCTCATTTTTTCCCTGAAAATGTAGACCCATTCAAGAGCCTCCTGTTCACATATCTGATATTTTGGGGTATGAAGTTCCTTAATCCCATGTGTTAGATTGTGTTTCATTTGCATACTTATGTCACCATCCTTATTCACACAAATACCAGGCAATCTTCTAGGAATGCTAGAACCATATTTAAAGACCACCAACCATGGGGGTAAACAAATCTGGTCTACTATTGAATATCATAGACAATTTATGAAAATATTTGTAGATTTTTTTTTCCTTTCCCCATTTCCTGACTGTTTTTCATCAATGCTTTCTCACTGAGGGGAATAGAAACAGAAATTACAGAGCACTAGAAACATACAGAGACAGCCCTTATATTTGGGATCAGTAGCCTATTGTAATGGTGTAGGGAAAAGAATACTCCCTGAATTATGAATCTTTGTCTCTTTGTTAAAGTGTAAGAATGAAATTTGATCCCACCAGTTCATGCAGATTCCAGGGGCTTTTCACAGTATCACAGAATATTCTGACTTGGAGGGGGCCCACAAAGATCATCAAGTCCAACCCTTAAATGAATGGCCCCCACAGGGATTGAAACCACAACCTTGGCATTACTAGCACCAGGCTCTAACCAACTCTCAGGGACTTTTTGAAATGTAGCTCTACTGTAACCTATGTTCCTGAAAAGATCTTTGTGACTGCTGAGAAAAGGAGCACTGTGTTAAATCACAGTGGGGTACTTACAAGGCTGTAATTAGAAATTAAATACTGTACTACTAGCAAAAAGCAAGGACACTACACTTTCATTGATCCTTCAGTGAAAGCAAACATGCCTGCATGTATGCAAGTTGATTCTTGCAACTCAAACTGCTGATTTGAGCTTTTCTGGTGTGGAAAATGATGTTTGTTGCAGCAGAAGGGAGTAATTTTATACTCATGACAAATTCGCGCATTTTCTTAATGACTCAGACTGTCCATAGACAATGAGCTATGATAAATCAGGTCTTTGGGAAACCTTTACTAAACATCTGCCACAGAAACTGCAGTTTCCTTGTGTATGTAGAAAGTAAGTATCTTGTGTACAGTATCTAGGGAATAAATTATTCATATATTTGGTATAAGTTGTCAAGCATTTACCTCTGTTTTATGTGATCAGTGGTGTTCTAGACATTATTATAATTCTTATTCTGTGGATATACATATAAAATCAATTGACAGTTCCAGTTCTGCTCCTGCTGTGGCAATCACAGTGTACTGCTTACAGCCAGGAAGGCACAAACTATCATTGCAGAGCCTACTCCAGAAGTCCTAATGTAGGAAATTTGTCCATTAAAAGTAATGGCAACCTTTCCTTTAAAGAAGATGTTGTCTCCATAGTAAAATGATCATCTGCAGACATATGAGAAGAATTAACTTTGTGTTGTGAGTCACTTTTCTGGAGCAAGGAAGTATCTTTTAATTAAGGGTGTATTTAGCAAAGCAGAGCTTTGGTTTTGGCTGACTAGACTCTTTTAGAGTTTTGTCAAGGGAGAAAACTCAAAAATACAAAATAAGGGAAGTAATAAAACACCGTATTCTTCTATATAAATATCCTCTTGTCCCTTAATTTGTTGCCCTAATAGTTTCTTCTGTTTCCTTCTTCATAGTCTAGAAGCTAAGACAATGCAGCTGTTTCATTTGATGACCGTTTTGTCTGGTATTCCTTGTTGCTTTCATGTTCTTCTGTTGTATGTCTGCTTTCCCTTCCTAAATCACTGTGCATCTTTATAATTGGGAAGTCTGAAGGACTGCACAAAGTAGAAGAGATAGGCAAGGTGGCAGGCAAAGCTGAATCTGCTAATTAAATAGAAATCTTCAGTCATTCTTAGCAAAGAAAAATTAAGGAGAAAGTTTTCTATCTAACGTTCTGAGAGTGAGTAGAAAGAAGTTCTACGCAAACTGGGCTACTGCTTCTGCGTTCTCATAATGGCTCTTCTAGTAAACACAGTATCACTTATTTTACAGTAACATTACAACAATAAACATTTGATTTTGGGGTAACACAGTAATAAGTGTACCAGACATCTCTTCTTTGACTCTTGTTTTGCAGTTCGTCAGCTTCACCGGGAATTCCTCAGAGCTGGATCCAATGTTCTGCAGACATTCACCTTTTATGCCAGTGAGGACAAACTAGAGAACAGGGGCAATTATGTTGCTGAGAAAATAACTGTGAGTAAAACAGTTTTGATGGTGATATGAAATGAATTGATTAATTTCAAAAGGTTTAGTAGAGAGATTATCAAGTACTTTCACAGTTTGTCATAACAATTTTAGCAAGAAAGACAAGGACAAAAAAATCCCAAACACAACAACAAAACCAACCAACCAAAAAAAACCCCTCACAAAACACACCAACAAAAACCTCACCAGCCTAGCAAAAAACAAACAAAACCCAAAATAAACTACCCCCCCCCCAAATAAAATAGGTCAAGGATGAAGAGAGTAAAGAGAATGCCCACATTGTGTTTTTTCCCATCTGAGGAGATTGGTTTACTGGAGTTTTGATGCAAAGACTATAGGGAGGACTAAATGCACACAAGGCAAAACTAGTGGGGGAAAAAAAAAAGAAATGCTTTAACATCCAGAGAAATAAATAATCAGCTCCAAAAATGGTGAAGAATCCTAGCAAATAATGAGTGGCTAATTAGAACAAAATGGTTTTTATCTTCAATAAAGTAACAACTAAAAAAATCCAAGCTATACACTGTGGTCAATATTCCTCTTGTCCCATGTAAGGATAATCTGTTACATCAGCAGAACTACCATGCTGGTGTTTTCTTACCTCCTGCAAAAAGGAGCTGTAGGACGTTGGGTGTATTCACTAGATGCAGGCCCAAGGTCCAGTGAGATTTCTGGCACAAGCATTTCTAGATAGCTCCTTTGAGAGTAGAATAGCTGCCACCGAGGGGTTTCTCTGATCCTTTCCCTTTGGTCCTGTTGTACATTTTAACTTCTACAAAACAGAGAAAATTCCCCAGGACACAGGGAAGAAGGAATATCTTTATATCTTGATAGCCTCAGTCAGAAATTAGCACAATCTCGACACTAGGGAAACACTTCAGGTTTAACTGAGGTCATAACAAAACATCATGACCAAATTTATCTGAAATGCTGTATCTTTACATTCAATAGATGCAACATTGAAATATCTGAAGTGGTAGTCCAGAAACACAGTACCTCTGGAACAAGCCATGCTGCAATTCTTGCTGCCATGCAAAATTGTAAGGGCTGGAGAGCACCTGGTATTGGGAATCCATTGCAGCAAACCTCTCAAAATTGATTTCCTGCCAGTTCAAGGAGCGGGTTCTTTCAGGATTTAAGTGGTTTATGGCTCCACCACCCCGAGTTCCTGAACATGTTCCTGAGCACAAGGGAAGACAATCTGGCAGCAATAGACCTAAAAATCAGCTACATCTTTTAAGACAGCCATGGAAAACTTGAGCTGAAAGAAGACTGTGTAGATTCTAAGTAGTCCATGGACTGCAGAGAAACCTGCTATAATCAGTACTTGCTATCTATCCCAAACAATGGGATAGATTTTCTCCAATTCTTTTTCCCCCGCTTAACCTCTTTTTCCAAAGCTGTTCTGGTCATCCTAATTTACCTATAGAGGGAATCTGTCTTTCAGCTTAAGTGATTAATTAATCACAAATACTGATAAGTTTCCCTCTATTATTCTTAAATTGGTAACTTTAACATCAAATAATTAATAATATCTTTTTAAAAAATGCCTTAAATAATTCTGTATGAATACTATATCTGATTTTTTTTAAATTATCAAAACACAAAAATACATTTTAAAAAAATCAATTGAAATTACCATATATTTTGTTTTCCATCCACAAATGTCAGAATAAAAGCACACACTTAAAGGTAGCTAACTCATTTTCTGAGAGGCAAAGAAAATTCCATTTCACACCAAATTCTCACTTTTTACAGAATATTTGTGCAAAATGTATTAAAGGTAATGTGTTTTTTGTAGTATTTGATAACACGATAACTTAGAAGTGGCAAGAATTTTTTTCCTAGTGTTTGTTATTTTTCTTAAAGAATTTTATCTTCCTAATCAATATTATTTAACAACCCATTTAAATTATAAAAGAATATGAAAAAGATATGGCTTTTGACTCTTTTTGTCCTTTTTTTTGCTCTGAAATTATATGTGTATCACTGACCAGGTAAAATTGACATAATCTATATTCACACAGTGCCAGAAAGTGAATGAAGCTGCTTGTGACATTGCAAGAGAAGTGGCTAATGAAGGTGATGCTTTGGTGGCTGGAGGGGTCAGTCAAACACCATCATACTTAAGCTGCAAGAATAAAACAGAGGTTAAAGCAGTCTTTCAAAAACAACTAGACGTCTTTATGAAGAAGAATGTGGACTTCCTAATTGCAGAGGTAAATCTTTAAAAAAAGCACTTGCCTTCAACTGGCACAATGTTGACTTTTAAGATGTCTAGTTTACTTTAGGGAGAACAACTATATATTGCTTCTTCCTTTAAAATTTTCTGCTGTGCTCTTGTCCCAGTAGTATCAGATATTTTTCTAAATGCGCACCACCACCTGCAGGTGTCCTAGAATAGGACCTTGAAACCTAAGTTTCTACCTCAGTCAAGTGAAATTCTATACTGGTACAAAGAGGATATAATAATGGGGTCTTAACTAGTTCCTATTTCTTCCCATATGTGGTAAGCAACCTAAGATGACTTTTCTAGATTAAAATAGTTCTTGGATTAATCCCTGATTAATCAAATCCTGTATGGGCAGTCTTATTCTGAAACAAAATTATCATTATGTTTAACTTACTTTTACTCACTGACTTTTAAAAATCCTTTTTCAGCTGGGTGGTCAGTGAACTCAACTGAATTATGTTAGTATAAATCAGAAAAGAATCAAGTCGTATTGCTGGTGAATTTGGGGTCTGGATTAATGTATTTATGCTTCATTGCCAAGAAACTAAAGTAGTCCAGTTTTAATTTCTTTCAGTATTTTGAACATGTTGAAGAGGCCGTGTGGGCAGTTGAAGTTCTAAAAGAATCTGGAAAGCCAGTTGCAGCTACAATGTGCATTGGTCCAGAAGGAGACATGCATGGAGTGTCCCCTGGACAATGTGCTGTCCAGCTGGTAAAGGCTGGTAAGAATCTCTTTTAATATGCCCTTTAAAAGCAGGGAACAAAGTAATGTCCTTAATTATTGAGATAAATGAATGTGTACCTGAAGTAGGTAGCTTCCCAATTATATCTGATAAAAGTTTTGATTCTGTAGTAAAGTTTTTATGTGTACTTTACTAAAGCAGTCTTGTAAAAACAGATGAAAGTGCAGCTATGAAATCCTTGATAATCAGAGTGCAATGGCTGGGAGCAATAGCCACAGACAGCTGATACTGAATACAGAAAAATTCTAAACCTACTCAAATTTCATTACAGACCCAGCCCCAAATTCTAGAATCACATGCAGGATCCAAAGTCACCTTTGATTTCTGCTTATGTATTTTTGAAATGTATGAAGCATAGTTCAAACCCAGGATGAGAGAATTAAGAGGATGAAAAAAATTAATAATTTTGCCCATTCCCAGGACAAGGGGAAAGGCAGAAGAAAGTAATCAGGGGCATGATGAATGATGGTACAGCGGTTTATTGGTACAGTAGTTCTGTTTGGAACTATTCTTTTCCTTTCCAGTCAGAGTTGAAATCCAAAGGGAGAACTTGTGTTAGGAACCTGCTAACTATTTGCATGTGTGGCTGTACATAATCAGACTTCACTGATTAGGCACTGGTAAGAAAAGCAGCTGTAGAAGGGGGGAAGATGTCATTCATCATCAGGAAGATAAAGAGGAGTGCAACTGAGATGCAAATGGAATGATCAACCTCAGCAGAGCTGAGCTCTAACACATCTGCCTTGTTTTCATAACACTGGTGTAAAGATGGACTGTACTGCATCTGGACTGCTGTGGCTCAGAACTTTCACTTCCCACTTTCTGTGAAGATGTGACTTGAAGTTATTTTCCTCCTCCCAGGTGCTTCTATTGTTGGAGTCAACTGCCACTTTGATCCAGAAACTTGCCTGGAAACTGTGAAACTGATGAAAGAGGGCTTGCAGGCTGCTAAACTGAAAGCCCACCTGATGTCCCAACCACTTGCTTTCCATACACCTGATTGTGGAAAGCAGGGTTTTATTGATCTCCCAGAATTTCCCTTTGGTAAGACAAGGGTATTTTTGTTGTTGTATGTTTGTTTGGTTATTTGTGGTTTTGTTTTATTGTATGTTCCTCTTTTGTTTGTTTTTTTTCCCAGCTTTTAGTAAAGCTGAAGCTGCAAAGTGTCCTTCTATACAATAGGATGAGTCCCAGTTACCTTCTGGCATTTTCCAGACAGATTACAGTATAGTATTGGATTAAAGATCATCCACATAGTGACAATGCTTCACTAGTATCGCAGCACGTGACTGAAAGTGAAATTACGATGAAAATAGTTAAAATACCACAATCTAAACTCACTTAAAAACTTACTTCTTCCCAGTGCTATAGAATCATGTTCAGAACAGCTATAAACAGTCCAAAGAAATGAACAAAAGCAAATACTCAAAAAAACACTTACTGTCCCACAAGGCCTATGTATACCTGTTTAGGGACTTAAATGTACAATGCATATGCAGAACTGGATAAAGGCGCATGATTATTGCATAATAGTTCAGTCTTGTGAGTGTTACTGTGTAATTTAAGTGAGACTAGAGAGAAACTAGAAAGGGGACTTCAATGTTGCTAACAAATTGGCAGTTTGGAGGCTTTACAACTATGCTCAGGAGAAACTCTACAAAAACTGAAAGATTCAGCCATTTTTGTGTATATAAGGCTTGTGTATTTAGGCTTATTTTCCCCTGCGGTGCAAAGGATCCCTTTAACATAAAGACAGAATCAGTTTACACATTTTAAGGTTGATTAGAAAAATTCTTTCACTTTCAGATAACGTACACCTTTCTTTTCAAGATCAAACTGTATGGTATTAAACATTCACAACTTGAGTTTGTAGAAAAAAATTAAGAGATGGATGTGATTTTTAGGAAGTTCACTGTTTTTTCTTTAAATTCCTTTCTTTACATAAATGACGGAAAGAGAATAGTGAGCTTGAGGCATTTCATTAAATGGTAATAACATGTCTGAGTTCTGAAAATATTCTGAGATGTTTAAAAGTGTTAGGAACCATTTATCCTATTCATTCCTTCATATAACTCCTCTGATTGCAAGCAAAAAAAGATCGAACAGATGCAGTAAGCAATCAAGTGAACTGAAAGATTCACTCTTGGATTCTATGTTTTAAGCAATCTGTATGAGATCTCAGCATTCAGAAATTTCGTGACTAATTGGTGAATACTCATTTTGTGAATGTTTTCAGTACCCAGAAGTAGCAACGAGTCACTTGATAGCAGATAAGCTGTTTGGTAAATCATTGTTAGCCTGACCAAATTAACTGTTTTTTGTGAAAGGCAATATGGACAAAGAGGTATTTAGATATCTGAAGAGTACATAACCTCTGTACGGGCCAACAATATCTCAGTATCTAGGAAAACATTAGCCATGTTGTATTGGCAAACTCCAGCATCTAGATGCCAGCAGTATTTATTTTTCTGTAGAACTTTATCCATTTTCCTGTGTTTTCCCTTCTGTGTTACTAGAATTTCTCTGAAATGTCACCAATTAAATAAGGACAATATTTTAGAAAGAAATGTCCCAGCGAAAGCAGTGAAAGCACCCAATTATCTCAAAAGTAGATATATAGAGGGGGCAAATCTAGGAACAGGTTACAAACTTTTCCTCAAAAACTGATGAAAGTTTAAATCTCTTTTTACTATAAATTTTAACATAAAGTTAAGTTATAGATATTTAATTCTGAATAAAGCCAAGAAAATAAATGAATTGACAGACATGGAAAACAGAATGTTAGTCAATTTTGGGAAGGTGTCTTTTCATTTTAGAGAAAAGCATTTGGTGTGGGACAGTATCAAATATTTTGCAGAAGTCAAGGAAGGTGATATCAGTCACTCTTCCCTTCTCCACCAACACTGTAACCCCATCGTAGCAGGCCAAATTTGTCAGGCAGGATTTGCCCTCAGTGAAGCCACATTGGCAGCCACCAATCAGATCCTCATTTTTCATGTGCCTTAACATAGTTTCCATGGGATTTGATTCATGGTCTTGCTGGGTACTGAGGTGAGACTGACCGATCTGTAGTTCTCTGGGTTTTCCTTTTTTTTAAATGAGGGTTATGTTTCCCTTACTCCAGTCACTGGGAACTTCACTAGACTGTCATGAGTTTTCACATATGACAGTTAGTGGCTTAGCCACTTCATCTGACAGTTCCCTCGGGACCCTCAGATGCATCTCATCAGGTCACATGGATTGTGACAGGGTGGTGGAGGAGACAGGGAGACACTCTATACTGTTCCCCTGGAGTTTTGTTGCTTATACCGGTATAAATTGAGTGCACAATGATGCATTCTTACCGTTGATCATTTGTATAAATTTTGCACTAGTCTTTTCATGATATATGAGAGACAAGGAAATCATTTATTTTTCCTTCTGATGCTTTTTGTCAGCTCTGCAGCATTGTACACAAGCTTTTTTTTATTTGAACAGCTTTCTAAGATAGCTTAACCTAAGTTTTCCTTGTGATATTAAGACCACCTACTTTTCCTTTGTCCAGTCTTTCCCTCTAACACCAATAATTTTCTGTTTAAGAATATTTAATTTTCTTCCTTCTGCTTTTTAATTTCTGAACCCATTTCTTAACTACACAGTGGACTTAGAATGGATCTGCTTTGTATCATCTTCTTGCATTTTAGGCATTTTTGGGAGAGGATATAGGGAGAAGAATCCTACCTCTCTACTGTATTGCTGGAGCCTTACTACCTTCCGACAGCTTCTTTGCCCAGTGGAGTGTTCAAGTGCACAGACAGTGCACAGGCTTGCATGATAACTGCGATGGTTCCTCTCCTGCAGATGTGCATTAAGGAGTGGGAGGATTTTTATTCTTTCATTCCCATATTTTTATTCCTTAAAGTTTCTTCTTCAGTCCCTGGTCTTTTCTTTCCAGTTATGCTGCTCTCGTGCCTCCTACCCTTTGAGGTGTGCTTTTCCTTTATCTTTTCACTTTCTATTCGTCTCCTTCCACATTCTTCCCCTCAGCTCTGTTATCCTGTCACTCTGCTCACCACAACCTGCAACAGAGAGAAGGGTTCAAACTAAAGATTGCATCCTAACTTAACTACACACAGAACTTTCCACAAGCAATGACATGGTTTAAGGCAGCAAGATGCTTATGACTGGGATTCTAACTAAGGAATGGGCTAAGAAATAGCTACAGATCCCAGCTGAAACAATTGGCTGCTGTTAGCTGATCATGGAAAAAAATGTAATAAGCATTCTTGAGGAATAATGACCAGGCTTATTCCTATTCAGATAGACTGATACCTTCTCCTTTCACAGATTAGTTTGTGGTAATCAGATTTCCCAGGTATTGCTTGTTAATTAGGAAACATAGCCATAACATTGAAAGTACTCCAAAACTTCAGCTAAGAACTCTGTCAGAACGGTAAGCATGCGATCAATCTCAGAAGATACTATGTGCTGTTTTGCAAGGCCAAAAATCCTAACAAGCACAGGTCAGCAGAACACAGCACAATCAGAAGGCTAGACTTCTGAAAGTTTGCATCATTAATTCTAGGTGAGACAGTTCAAACAGGTACATCTACATCTACAATCACTTTAGCTAACAGAGTGCAAGTGTTTCAACAACATGATTTCTTACAAAAACTCTGTTGAAATGGACCATGGTGGAAACTTAAGATATGACTGTCTTTGCAGGTCTGGAGCCAAGAATTGTAACCAGATGGGACATTCAAAAATATGCAAGAAAGGCCTATGACTTAGGAATTCGTTTCATTGGAGGCTGCTGTGGATTTGAGCCATATCACATCCGAGCAATAGCTGAGGAGCTGGCTCCTGAAAGAGGATTTTTGCCAGAAGCTTCTGAGAAGCATGGTAGCTGGGGCAGTAACCTGAGCATGCATACCAAACCCTGGGTCAGAGCAAGGTGTGTATATCTGACCCGGAAAGCACACCAACACCAATATAAGCAAAGGCTTATATTGCTCAAGGCAGCAGACTGGCTTAACTCATATGGAGGTCTAAATATCACTGTAAACATTCTATGTGTTAATAATTTTAAAGAATTAAAGCTGATCTTGGAGCAGGGAAATGGGTGAAGGAGCACTAGAGGAGCTCTTGTGAAAGTAATTTGTGAAATAATTCATGCAAGTGAAGATGAAAAACTGACAGGGTACTGTAGATCAGCTTCTAATGGTGAGTGGCTTACAGTATTCCTTTCAAGGGTGGAAAGAATACCTTAAAGATACTTTTTAAGCATGTATCATTTTATTGCATGCTTTCATTCCTCTGTATTTGAATATAGTTAGATGACCCTTTGCAATGGTCATTTAGGCCACATTTCCTTCAGTATTGTGAGGTGCTGAGAAAAAAAACCCCTGAATTTCCTTTTCTTTCCTTAGGGCAAGAAAAGAATACTGGGATAACCTGAAGCCTGCTTCAGGAAGGCCATATTGTCCTTCTATGTCAAAGCCAGATGGTTGGGGAGTGACCAAAGGAGCCAGGGAGCTGATGCAACAGAAAGAAGCAACGACTGAACAACAGCTGAAGGAGCTCTTCCAGAAACAGAAGATCTAATCCACTGAAGTTGTGTAAATGTTAGAATGATTAATCTACAGACCATTTCATGTTTCACAAGAAAATCAGACAAGTACCCTACTGATTTATCACTTAAAATGTAATGAAAGAGACAAAATGCAGAAAGAATATGATTATAGAGTAAATATGTCAAACTTTGATAATAAAATCTTTCTCTGGACAAATAGTTTAGAGAATACATAGTCAAAAGTAAGTTTGGATTCTCATAATAATTGAGTTTCGGTTAGCTAGGTGCCATTAATTGGGTAGGCACATAAATACCTCGAAAGTAGTAATTGGCTCAACTCACATGTGCAAAGGGAAAAAGCCATCTCTAAGTAAGGTATCAACAGACTTCAACTCCCAAGTCTGTTTTCAGTTCGGGACTATGTAGGAGCTTTCTCAGACCTCAAGATTTGTTGAGGACTACTGCAAGGACACACAGGCTGCCAATTCTTCAGACACACGATTATTTGTAACACTTCTTTGATTTCAAAAGAATAAAAGGAAAATAAAAAATACATCTTGTAATAGCAATCAAAACATAAGGAGAATGAGATCTTGCAGAAATTTCTTATATGCAGGGAGAAAGGTTAAAAGAACTTTTAGGAAAGGAAAATGACATGTAAATAACTCACTGCTTTTGTCTCAAGGTACCATGTACACAAGATTTCCTCTTCTGGAGACTAAAAGTCTTAAGAAATTACTCTGCAATTAAAAAAAAAGTCGAATAAATTAAAAATAATATGATGGAGTAGTTTTGTATTATCTTCATACCTTAAATCATGAGAGCTGAAACAGAACAACACACCTCCAGTAAAAAACTAATTTTCAAATGACGCATCTGATCTCTGGAAATCTCATTTCAAATATGTGGGTTATCTCAAAATAGCAAAAAACCTGAAGGCTTGTAAAATATAACTCCTGTTTATATGAGTAGTAGTACATGCCATTACTTAAAAAAAAAAAGAAAAGGCTGATTGATTCATTCTACAATCTTAGCTGTAACAAATGAAAAACCCTTTTAGGAAATATCAATCTGCTTAAGTTAAGAAAACCCATGAACATTTGTACACTGATTTTGTTGAGAAGGTTTTTCATAGAAAGGGTACCACTGTACTTGGAACCCATAAAGGACACATTTCCATAGTTTATTTTTGTGAAATACCACACAACTTAGATTTCTCTCTAGAATGTAATTCTCACTCATTCTATATTAAGGCCTTCATGAAAATCCCATTCTCAAAGTTAGAGTTGAAAGCTTTAGTTCAACTATGTTTTATGTATAAGCTTATTTCATTATTTCTGTCCACGCTGGTATTCTACAGTTCAGGAAACAAATATACAAAACTTCAATGGGGAACTTCAGGTATTCTTTTCAGAATGTTAATGGCAGAGAGATTTTAGAAAAAGCCATCTCCCTTCTGCAGGCTTGTAACAGATTGAAATACTAGCTGGAAATTTTGCCTGAAAGCCAAAAGCAGACAAATCAAGAAAGCAGATATTTTAAAATGTAGATTATTTGGAAAGCATCCATCTAAGTATATATGCACTACATTAAACTCCTTTCCTTTCTAAATGCATCTGGGCATTACCTCTGCAGAAAGTGGAATAATGTAAAATCTGTAAAACAGAAAGGCCAGATCTTTCATCATCACCAGAATGCACACAGCATTAAAGATATATGTGTGATAAAGTGGCTTAAAATACAGGCTACAATTGGTAAAGAAATGTTTTGAAGAATCATTACCAATTTAGGGATTTGTGGCATAAAAATGCAGCTTGACCATCACACACTAACTATATAAGTAGCTAGGGCTGATTTTTTTGAAACCATCAAAACATGCAAAAATTTGTATTGAAGTGAATGACTTCACAACACAGAATATTGAAGAACCTGGTATTAAGATGATAAGATTTTTGAATGTTTAGATACCCAGTTTGAAAAGGATGAATTTTAACATGCTAAGAATGATGAAAATTATGTAGAAATGATTTGAAGACATTAAAAATGAAATGTGACCCAAGGAGGAAGCTATACATTCCCCGTTTAATTCATATCACAGGCTGGGCTTATCCAGAAATTGACAATGGGATAAAAACAAGCTGTCAGGGTGCTTCACAGAATCACAGCTTTCACAGAATCACAGAATATGGTGAGCTGGAAGGGAGCCAGAAGGGTCATTGAGTCCAACCCTTAGACCTGCAAAGGACCATTCCCAAGAGTCACACCACATGTCCAAGAATATTATCCAAACACTTCTTGAACTCTGTCAGGCTTGGTGCTGTGACCACTTCCCTGGGGAGCCTGTTCCAGTGCCCAACTACCCTCTGGGTGAAGAACCTCTTTTCTAATATCCAACCCAAACCTCCCCTGACATAACTCCAGGCCATTCCCTCAGGTTCTGTGACTGGTCCCCATAAAGAAGAGATCAGTGCCTGCCCCTTCTCTTCCCTTTACAAGCAAGTTGTAACTGCAGTGAGGTCTCCCCTCAGTCTCCTCTTCTCCAGGCTGAACAGACCAAGTGACCTCAGTCTCTCCTCATACGGCTTCCCCTCAAGGCCCTTCACCATCCTCTAATGGTTAATTATGTGACTTGTTAAAGAAATAAGACAGGCTGACAGCACAGTCCTAGGAAATTTGTTTCCTTAGAAAGCCTATCTGAAAACTTAGATAGGAAGTGAACGGGGCTTTAGAAGGTTAGCTCCTGTATTTGGTACCCTAAGGCCTGTTTGGAAATATATCTAATGATGGAGCTTCCATGCCAGTGCCAGGCAGTCTGGTTACTTCACTATTCTTAACACATTTTTCCTAATTTGAATATTCCTTGATGGAATTTAAAACCATTATTTCTTTTCAGCTCATTGGAGACATGAAGAATTTCTTCACTTTATCTTTGCTGAAGTCTTTCATACATTTGAAGATTTACATACATTCCTTGTTTCTCTCTCAATCGAACAGACCTTGTTCATTCATCCTTTCCCTGCGGCCTCTGAGTCTATAGTTCATCATAAATCCAGAGATCACCTCCATCACATCTCTTCCTATCTCTATGCTTTTTTTACCTGCAAGCAGAAGTGAAGATCCAGAAGTGAAAACCCAAAGTCTTTGCTATCTAAAGAATAAATCTTTACTCATAAGGCTGAATGTCAGGACCCTCTGTGTAATCTCAGGTGTTGGCCTGATTATTTGTAAACCACAGGAATGCAAGGAGAGGGTTATTGTAAAGAGGGAAATTTGGGAGTAACAAAATTTACAGAAAACATAACTTTTTTCCCTTGTTCTTTTGAAGAGAAAGTTTTCTAAAAATCCTACCAAATCTGACATCCTCAGGTACCAAAATTTCTTCCTAAAGCAGTTTGTGACTCTGCCTTCTTATACTCACAGTGGCAGGTTCAGTGACATTTTTTAAATCTAAACATCAAAAGAAGTGGATTCATATATCTATGTTGTTCTACTCCATGGAATTCATGAAATATTGAATATAAACTAATCTCATTTAATCCTGCATTAAGTATAGACACCATTGTAATAGGATGGGGAGAATATTATCATAAAATATATTATTTCAGCAACTTGCTTTGCTACAAAATTCTTCACTACCTTTCCTTTATGTTCCACTTTATTGAGAGAGATAGTATTTGTCATAAATTTTATGGAATCATGATACTAAATTTTGTTAATGGTGTATACTATACCTCTATATGTACAACTCCTTTGACAGATAGCAATCAATTACATCCCAACATTAGGAATCTGCAGATGGACTTCCCATATATTTTGGTCAACTTCACCTCAGAGCTTCTGTGTCCAGTAAAGTTGAATATCTGAACAGAAAAACAAATTTGTATAATAGGATTGATGCAATAATGGTGGACAGTAGTTGCTATGAAATTAATTTCAAAGCAGGTTGAGAAATGTATGTTTGGAAGGTAGAAGCATGACTCTTATCTGACAATTAACAAAGCAACAGCAAACACCCATCAAACGAAGCTTTACAAGCATTACAAGTTGTCTCTGGGTGGTTCAAAAGTGTTTTGCAGCATTCATTTGCAAACATTTGCATGTCATTGTTTCGGTGCAATTGAAGAGAGAGATGAAGTGACAAATGTAATGTGGGAGGGAAATTCCATCATCAGTTTTTATTTCTAATCAATCAATCAAACAAACAAACAAAAAATAGGTCAGTTTCATCCAAGAAAAAAACAAGAATAAAAAGACTCTACAATAATTTAGGTCAAGCAACAGTGTTCTTCAGCCCCATGAAGAAAAGCTTGCATGTTTGTATGAATTATGTCAGCTAGTATGCTGGAAGATCCTGCTGGCTCTTCCTACAAACATTTCTGCAACAAAGCACTTCTCAGGAGCATCACAGCATTACAGCTCCATGGAAAATCAAAGATGTGTCCTTTGAAGAAAAAGGCTTTTTAAAAATCATATTTCTTACTATGTAATTTCTTCGTAGCTTTTTTCTGTATGATGAAACCCCAGCAAAGTGTACTCTCCAAAGACAGGCCTGTAGCAAGCTGTGTGAATGCTGCCTCCAGGCGGCTCCATGCATGCATACAGCACCGGGTAAGGGAGAACCTCAAATGGCTTCTCAGGCCTGTGTATGCAGACAGAAATCAGAACAGCTGTTAATTCCTACTTAATTTCAGAACAGACTTAATTACACCTGTATTTGTTACTTAATAAGGAAGTGTTTTCTTTACAAGAACTTTAAAGGTAATTAAATCTCCAGTTGTCTCAGTCTTATTTTACTGCCAGAATAAATGGACTGGATGGAAGTTTTTCCTTGAAAATACCCAGATCCACTTTTATTTTAAACAATCAAATGGCATACAATGTAGACAAACATTTTAAATTACAAGGAACGGGACAGTGGAGAAAAAAGCTGGAACAGGGACAGGATAGATGCAAAGAGGCACTGTGTGCAATATTAAATGCTAGACAGCACTGCACCTACCACACAACAGGGCAGAATTTAGATTTGATAAGTGTGAAAAGCTGTGGCCTCTGTAGCCACTGCTTTCTGCAAGGCTAGACCTTACCAGGTTTCATTCTGTTATCCTGGTAAGACTGCCCCATAACTGAACAGCAAACTGAGGCTATGTTCTTTAAACTTTCTACTGTTTTTCCTAATTCTTCTATTGCTATGACAATTCTGGTCTCAGAGAAATAATTGTTATTCCATCCTACTTTAATACTGCTATGCCTGTGTTTAATGTGACTGGTTCTGCTGGTTCTGCTAGGCAGACAGGACTCTTAAAGATAATTAGTATTTGCACCATTGACTTGAAAGGCCATCTGCTTTTTTTTTTGGACCTGACGCTGTTCATACTCCTTTCTGCTCACACTCATACAGCAGCACAAAAGGGCAGAAAGTGGATTAGATGTGTTTGCCTAGAAATGAAGCAATCCATGTGTGTCATAAAGATGATACACCTGACTCTCACCCATCAGCTTCTTCCCACATGTGGGAATATAGAATATTGCAAAGGTGTGAGAGGGTAGCCAGGACAGTTGCCTTTGATTAGAAAATTAAAATAGTTCATCAGTCTTGTCATGCTAGCCTGTGGAAGGAAGGCTGCATACAAGTATGAAAGTAAAGAATTAAAATCAGTTTATGCTTTACTTATGCTGAACAGAATTGTTATGAACTGCCCAAGGTGAAACAGAGTAGGAACTCAGATTTTTGATTTTTTACTTGTAACTTTTACCAGAATATTTAGCTTAATGCCCTA